TTTTAAGATTGATGATGCTTTCGAGAGTATTTTTACTTATTTGATGCTTACTGAGTGACTGAATCAGTCAACTGCTTATAGCAATTAACTTACTCGCATAAGAAACTGCTGTGTTCATGAGAGGAACCACAGTTAGTCTCGCATTTAGTGTGCATCAACTGGTATCTGCGGTGGATCAGCGATCTGCACTCCACAGCCAGTGATGAGCACACAAATTCAATGTCAATGTGCCCCGTCGTATGGATGTGGCCAGTATGGTTGCTATAAACTTCGAGCAAGAGCCTCGAAGAATCTTTACGCTGTTGATGGAGAGACTTCTTCGTCGTTGGAGGCTTTCCGACGACTGCGGTATCTTCATAAACAATTCAACAAACAAAATTTTTGTATCGTTACATTCATTCGCTCTTTTCAAACGATGAATGAATCGTTTTTTTGGAAAGTTAAGATGGAAATTCACCATTCAAATATTAGGTTTGGCAGGAAGTTCCTGAGCAGTTAGACTAGAACTTTCAAAGTTTCATAACTCGTTTCAAAATCACCATTACTCGATTGATATCAATCGCCAATTCCCATTTCATTGAGTTTACAGTGAGTTCAAAATCATATTCTAGAGAATATTCACAAGAAGAGAGCGGTAGAGTGGAACCGCTCCGAGAACTGTCTGCAAGACCGATAGCGAGCGATGTTCCGTCGACAGGTGATCGTAGGCATCATGCAGACGTTGCTGTGGTACGTGAGTGCCTAACGTAGCTTCCAAACCGACCTAAAATTGTAGTTATCTAATGCAATTAATCCACTCAATAACATTCACTCGTTCAGATATCTCAATCTTTCATCAAATGCCAACAAAATCTATATATCCAGCATATTGTCACGTATTTCATTCGTACTTTCAGAGTCCGAACGAAGCCTTCTTGAGTTGTTGTATGGATCGACAGCTACCGGATGCGTGCCTTCAAAAGTGCAATTTTCATTCGTATACGAAGCAGGCGGTAAGGTTCATCTGCAACTATCGACAGCCATTAATGAGAATACAACCAACCGTCAACTCTCTCACGAGCATTTCTCATCGATAGAATGATGCCAAAAATCGAATAAATATTTCAGTTGACAGCAATGTTCTTCAAGCAAGATGCATGTCCTCTGGAGGCAATGAGAGAGATGCAGTATTGTGCAGCACAAGGCCGTGACCATCGTGAGTGTTGTATTCGCAATGGTGTGACCAACACTATTGCTGGAGATAAGTGCTTGGTCTTCTGCGATCAACGTCCCGGTTCGTTGCTTCTGTTCTTTTTCCACCTGAAACTTGGAACGATTCGATTTCAAACCTCAAAAACTTTTGCTATCGCTCTTCATTGATTACTTGCTATCATTTATTTGCACGAGCTTCTAGCGAATCCCTTATAATAATTGCAATCTCAGGTATCGTCACTCAGCTGGACATCACGTATTTAGCGTGTTTCGATCGGTTCGAAAACATGAAGACTTGTTTCTGGGATGATATCGAGCGAACCCAACGACGTAAATGATTGTGATGTGATCTGAAGTGATTGGTGATCATTGCTTGCCTTCTTCTGTATCCGTGTACTTGTGAATAATAACTATACAAACTAATCCTGTTGTACGTGCTGATTCATACGGAATGAACTGACAATAAGAATGTTTACATCTCACAGAAACCTCATTCGTTTGAGTGTCCGTCCAATCAAAAGCAAATTTATATGATAATAGTGAATGAAGATCAGTAACGCGGCCATTAGCTGCTCTAATGTGTATGCGAGTGCATCCATTATACTTTTAAGAACCTGTTCCCTAGAAGAACATTTCATTATTTATCACCGACAGCAATAATATAACCACTGAATGCAGCAGCGATGAATAAATAATGCAAAAACGATTCNAACAGTTAGTTCTTTAATTGGATACCCCGTAAATTATTAAATAATCGGGAGGTATGGTCGAAAGAACGGTGTTTGCTTAATGACTTGAGAAATTCAAAAGTGCAAGTTGAATCTGGCTCTGATGAGGAGCAAATGGTGCTTGAGGTAGATCATTCGTATGTTGAATTTATCACTTGAACTGGATAATCCCCATTGCACTTACGTAGATGAACTTTTACAATGCTGAAACTTAGAGATCTAAATGAATGACTTACAAAGAAGTGTTTCGATTAAGATGAAAATTCAGGTGATCTGTGCAATTGATCATCGTAACAATCAACAAAACAAATTGATCACCAATTAAGTTTAACATTATCCAACAAACAAGCAAAAGTAAACACAAAGAATGATTTCTAAACCACTCTCGGTGATTGGTGATCGCTGGCAAGGATCAGTTAGAGAGAGGATCAATGATCAGTTGTTAAGACCAATTTTCATAAATGGTGTTGAAGTGGGATTTGCGTTAGCCTTTCCTTACATTAATGCTTCATTCAACATATTCACTACTACTCCTATTAACTGTTATACCTGCATTAAATATTAGTTATGCTTCACTCTATTATTCCTTCATTTAGCACAGTGGTTCTCATAGGGGGTGAAATTACCCATTTTGGGTAATTTGAAGGTTTCAAGAGGTAATAGAGGAAGTCGGGAAATTAGTCTTTCGTGCACTTGTTGTGTGCTGATCGAACGCCATTGTAAAGGTGTTTTTTAACTTTAGTAAACTTCTCATTCTCCTATCTTCAGAGTATCATTAGCTCGTCCGAGTTAACAAGGTTTTCATTCGTTTTAACAGCGTTCTCATTCTTTTCCGAGCTGTTGTAATCGCTCTCATGACTGTTATTACCAAGAGTATTCTCTTCTGCTAATTTCTCATTCATTTCACTCAACAATCAAAGTCAAATTCTCATTCTATCAAATACACTCTATTATTGATCATTTGACTCTCGA